CCAACCTGCAGGGCCGACCTACGAATAGAGGGAGGAGCGGAGGAGCCGTCGAGCCCGCCGCGAACCACAGGGATCACAAACTTGCGGAGGGTGACGTTGAAGAGCTCCTTGGCAGAGGACTGGTCCACGTAGCTCTTCACGCCCGACTTCTCGTCCCGCACGGGGATGCTCGGCCGAGCCGGCCAACGAAAGTCCGGGACACCAAAGTCCCACGAGCCGGCGCCGCTCGCCGGCACGCCGTTGTCGCCCTCGCCATTGTCCTCTGCCTCGGAGAGGACAGACCCGTCCCAGAGCTGTGGCGCCGGGTCGCCCTCGTCCAGCTGCGCGCCCTCCAGTTTTGAAAGCGGCAGCTTCTTCCTAGACCGGCGGGATCTGCCACGCTGCGGCGCGGCGGCCGACTCCTCAAGATGAGCATCGAGCCGCTGCATCGCGAGAGGGTCGCCGCTGCAGCAGCCGCAGCAGAAGAGCCTGCCGACGCGTCTGCTGAGGCTGCGCTGAGGCACGGCGGGTGGGGACACGGACGACATGAAATGACGAAAGGAGGGCGCCCTTTTGGCTGTTTTTGGCCGCTGTTCACAGTAACGCACAACGCCCGGGCCCGCTGTTCACACAAAAACACAACCCCCCGGACCCAAGACGCACAAGCTGTTCACACAAAAACACAACCGGGACCCAAGACGCACAAGCACAGACAGCTGTTCACGCAGATAGATCTCTCTCTCTCTCTCTCTCTCTCTCTCTCTCTCTCTCTCTCTCTCTCTCTCTCTCTCTCTCTCTCTCTCTCTCTCTCTCTTTCTTGTTCGTGTCCTGTGTGTGTGTGTGTGTGTGTGTGTGTGTGTGTGTGTGTGTGTGTGTGTGTGTGTGTGTGTGTGTGTGTGTGTGTGTGTGTGTCTGTGTGTGTGTGTGTGTGTGTGTGTGTGTGTGTGCTGTGTGTGTGTGTGTGTGTGTGTGTGTGTGTGTGTGTGTGTGTGTGTGTGTGTGTGTGTGTGTGTGTGTGTGTGTGTGTGTGTGTGTGTGTGTGTGTGTGTGTGTACCCCTAAACATGAATCAGCCACACTCACAAGCGCATGATGTGGCGGTGGTGGTGGTGTCCAGATCCGTGGGGACGCGGCGCCTCGACGCCCGAGCCGCTCCACTTTTGAGCGAGGGCGGCGGCGGCGTCCTTGTCGCCCGCCTGCGCCTGCCGACAGAGAGTGTGGCCCCGCCCCGGGTCGAGCTCATAGTCCTCCTGAGACACAAGAGACACGGGGGCCCGGGGTCAGCCAGTGGGGCACACACCCTCTCTCTCCTAGCCTAGTAGCTCCTAGCGCGCGCGGCGGGTCTACACTCGCAAAAGAGAGGGCGAGCCCGCACACGAGGCGTTGTGTGCGCTCTCAGACACACGCGCGCTCATCAAAAGAAAGCAAAGTGGTCGCGCGAGTCGGGGGGGGCGGGGGACCGCCCCCCCTGTTGAAAAAACCCACTGCCCCCCCACTAAGACCCACCCCCCCTCCCCAAGGCAAAACAAAACCCCCCCCCCCCCCGCCCAATTCCCCCCTATGAAGAGC